TATGATTTTGTTGTGGTTCCAGAGTTTATAGTGTATGATATATGAGTTTATATGCATATGTACTTTATGATTTTTTTAATGTGATGTATATTTATTAGTTTTTCATTTTAAATGTCATTTTTAATACATACATATATGTAATTTATTAAAAATATAAGACAATATTATTTTGTAAGGAGAATCTATGGATATGGAAACGTGTCTTGACTGACAAAGATTGTGTTATCGAAGATTGTTCTATAAAATAGTACACTTATATATATATATATATATATATATATATATATATAGATATATTCGAGTGATTATTTTTAAAATATTAAATATATAATTTACTAAAATATAGGATAATATTATTTTGTACGAGGAATCTATGAAAATGTGCCTTGACTAACAATGAAGGTATTTTCGAGGATTATTCGTACAAAATAATACCCCTTTTAATTTTTTCTAAAAATATCATAATTTAAACGCATGATTGGATTGACAATTTCATAGTTTAGATGACATATAATCGCTTAGGTATCAATTTTGGAAGCTATGGGGGTGTTCATCTTTTCTCACACGTAATTGGCTCCTGCATATTTTTTATTAAAAAAATCTAGTTAAACACAAGTCATTTTTATCTTTTAAAATGATTTTTCTTAACATTCTTTTAAAAGATATTTTTTAGGTGTTTGACCTATCTAACCCAAAGGTCACTGGCGACTCCAAATTTATTTCTTCTTAAAAAAAAACCCGATCTATTAAAAATCAAGTTAAATCGATCCGCCTAAAGCCCTAAAAAAGCTGAAGGACTGTTCCGATACATTTAAATTCACAACAACATCATTTAAATTTTCATTAGAATACTCTTATATTGTTTTTAAAAAATTTGTTAAAAGCTCCCTTTTGTGATTTTATTCACTCATTTCTTTTCTTTTTTCACTATCAGACAAATATTTTTAGGTGACATTATATGACACTGCAACTAATGAAGAAAAAGAACAATAGCATCTGCAAAATGAGAAGATCCTTGGTTGAAGTATTTATATTCCAAATATGTAACGCCACAATGACTGAACCGTAAAGTTAAACAAATAGTTTACATTACAATCTATAATTTTTTGCTAAAAGGAATAATAATGCCTAACATAAGAAGAGAAAAATTCGTTTGTCTAAATTTTCTTGATTGTCGACTTAGCGCAACATATAAAAATAAGGTGGAATAAGTTGGAAACATAATTTTACTTAAAGCTTTAATAACAGTTTTCAATATGATTCAATCACCCAATTAAATACATGAAAAGAATAATACACAAATGAATTGCATCTTAAAAGATATCAAATATTGAAAGATTGAAACTTTTTATTTCCTTTCATTCAGCTGGAACAAAGTTTGGCAGCTTCAATGCAAATCTTTTAATCACTAAATTATTTAGTCAGTGTTTCAAAGAGATAATTTATTTACTCAATGTTTCACCCCACAATCGAAATAGATTTTATTACTTCAAAACTTATTAAACACAAATATGTATATTCATATTTCATACCCAAAACTTAATAAACAAAAATAAAAGAAAAAAATCTTACATAGAATTTGAAAATATATAAAAATTAGAAGGAATAATTTAAAAATATGATCTTACCTAGAATTTTAACAACAATCTTTAATAAGATTGAAGCACCACAATTGATGATAAGGAATAATGACTTTGTGTTTGTGAGAAATATGAGAAATTGAAAAGTGAGAGCAATAATTTTCTAATGAATTGTGAAATATGGAAGAGAAAAGAAATAACGTTAATAAATTTTTTCGTTGGTATGAAAAATCATAAAGGAATTTGGTGAATTGATGGTATGATTTGGAAAGACCGACTTAAAGAAATTTAATTGGATTACGGAAAGTAAATATTGAATTAGAGTTTTAAGGGAAGTGAAATAGTTTATTAGTTTTAATATAACAATTCACTAATATCAATTGACACGTTAATAAACTCATGATTTCCATTATTTTACTTGATAATTTTTTAAATATTTGTTATTAGAAAATAAAGGACTATAATTGAAGATATTATACTAAGAAACTTTTAGATTTATGGGCCTTGGACAAACGCCTCCCCTGCCCCTGCCCCTGCCTAGGGCGACATTGGTGGATATTAGAAAAGTGAACACTTTTTCATATATATTTTGACGGGTTAAATTTTTATTGACTCTCTCAATTTCTGTATCAAGTATTGAAAGAGTTTTTTCTACAAGAAATGTCATCAAGACGACACTCCACAACAAAATAGAGGATGAGTTTTTTTTAGAGTTGCATGCTTATCAACACCGAAAGAGGTATTATAAGGAGTTTTAGTACAACATCACTCATAGATGCATTTCGAGATTTGAAGAAGCGACGTATTTTATTATGATAATGTGATAGTTATGTCTTTGACACATTTTAAGATCGTATCTTTTTATTATTATTTATGTTAACTTTATTTAATTTTCTACTTGTTATTTCACAAAAATGCTATAATTAATGTGTATATTTGATGTTATTATTTATATTTTTGAAATAAGTAAATCATAAAGATAAAACTATGTATAAAACTTAAAACCACTAAAAATATCCGACCTCCGTTAAAATTAAATTTTGAGTTCATCCCTGTTAGTTCTATCTTATTTGAATAAAAATAAATTATTTTATTAATAAAAAACATCTCAATTTTAACCCACAAAAAATCAAAGATTTAAAATCCGATTTTCTTTTGGAGTTTTTTAGGCTATAAAATCTTATGAAAAGTGACTAGAAAACACACGACGTTCCACAAACCCATCTCTCGTGACACTTAGATCTGCTTCATTTCCTTTAACTAAAAAACATGTTTCAAGCAACTGGAGCAGTTAAGTTGTGCACTTGCAATAAACACATTGATTTGGTTTTTTCTACTCTTTAACAAAGGTTTAATTTAGGGGCACATGGGTTCCTCATCATCTCAATCCCTTCTTGAGATCCACACCGTCCATTCCCCCTCCTCTGCTATTACAGCTTTCTTTATTAGCCCACAATTTAATGTAAGCTCGAATCAACCCCTATTATCTAATAATACAACAGAACTTTGAAACGATTAATGATGATTTTTTGTTTACATATTTTGTAATAAAAATATGGATTATTCATGTATTCTTTAAAATCAAATCTTTATTTTCCGATACATATTTCTATTTATAAGATACTAAAAAATAAATAAAAAGTAATAATATAGTGTTTTAAGTTTTCATTAGACTAATTTTCTCATGTGGAAGTGTTGGCTCACATTCTAAAAGAATTGGTGCAAATACTTGGTTTTTGAGCTACATTTTTATTGATTTTAATCATAAACGAGTCTCTATTTGGAAAATAAGTTTTTATTTTAATATTTGTATGAATTTATTTTCTTTTTCTTCCATAAATACTTGTAAAAATATGAGAGATGTAACTTGAGTAGCTGGTTCATATTGCATACCTACATAGGGAATATGCAGAAGCATTAACCAATGCGTGCCGCATGAACAAAAGCATTGTTCTACCAACCACAAATATAATAAAGTGTACAAGGTAAATGAGATGCACAATTTAGGAGAAAAGAATTGTCAAACATACATGTTCAAGTTACCATTGAATCATGATATCGTAAAAGATTTGTTAATAGAGCTCCAACTTTCATAACCAATCAAAGGGAGATTTTTACATTTGTATACTTTTTTAGAATTAGGGTCAAAGTGAACAATATATAAATATTAAGGTTAAACTTCTTAATATCATGATCAAATTGACCAATATATAAAAAAATTGATGATTAAATTTTTAAACTACACATTTAATACCTTAATTATCACTTTCCTTTCGTTTTAGTCTTCCAATTATTTTTTAGAATCATGACTAATATTTAATTTTGGTTTCATTTTGGTCACCGGTCATTAAAAATTAACAATGGTGTTGATGTATAATCATAAGATAATGTCACGTCAGTAGTTCTATCAATTATTAACAGTGGTTGACCTAATTAAAACTAAAACATAACATTTTGTATGATTTAAAAAATAATTGTGTGATTAAAATAGAACAAAAATGATAATTAAGATATTAAATGTGTAGTTTACCAATATTTTTACTATACCAATATTTGAAATTGCCATGTCATCATTCCATTATTCATTTAACATAGAGGTAGAGGTGAGTAAACTCGACTCGAAAAATCGATTTTTCCGACTCGAATTGACTTCAAGTTACAATTTCAAAAACTTGACTCGACTCGAAAATATTTCAAGATCAAATCAAATTGTAAAATACAACTCGAATAACTCAAAATTTTTAATAATTATTGTTTAATTTTCATGTTTGAGTGGAGTTCTTCGACTTTGTATGATATAAGTATATCAAATATGAAAAAATATGAAGAAATATATTTGTATTGTTTATATGGTTATAGAAAGTCATTTAGATTGAAATCAAATAATATTATAATATTATCAATATTTACAATTAAATTTAAACAGAAACTCGAAAAATCGACTCGACTCGACTCGAAAAAATTTCAAGTCAACTTCGATTTGTAAAATATAATTCTTCAACTAGAACAACCTGAAATTTTTTTACTCGACTTGACTCGTTCGAACGCTCACCCTTAAACATAGGAGGACAAAAAATGTAAATGTTAGTTACCAGTTTATAACTTTTTCTAATTAAATGACTAAAGAAAAACTAACTGATAGTTAGGTAGCCACATAAATAGTTTATCCAAAACAAAGCTTCATTATCTTAAAGTATTAATTGTAATTAGTTATTATTATTTATTTATAAACCGACCAAAATCTCAGCGGAGAGGCACCAAACCGAAACCAAGAATTAAAATCCAAAAATAAAATAAAAACAAAAATCGTAACCGACCGCTTTACCTTTCTCTCTCGGAGACTCGAGTGAAACTGGAGAAACCGGAGTTGAGGTTTTGATTCTCTGAGATTCCATTTAATGCCGGTGCTTCGGCATTGTTTCTCTGCCATTTTGTTTTAGAGGAAAACGTGGTCCTTGTTTTGTTTATTTTTTGTTAGGAGAGAAAAAGGAAAAAGCAGTAGCAGCAGCAGAAGATGCAGTGGAGGAGGCGCAGAGTGGTGGTGGTGCTGCAGAAGTTGCTAACGTGCGCCATATGTGTAATAGCGTTGATGGGACTGCTTTCCGTTCGCGTACACGTGTTTCCTTCTACTAAAGTCTCCGACTTGAGTGATCCTTACAAGCTCCCTACCGTCACCCAAGTATATCCCTTTCTTTGCTTTAGGGTTTCCTTCATTCTTTCGAAGCTTTACTGTTCTTCCATTGCCTTTTTTTATTTCCCTTTCCATAATATAAAATTTCTTTTCGATGTGTTTCCGCAATTGTTTTAAGAGATTTGGCCCTTTTTAAGCTAGTAATGTAATACTAATGTAGATTTTTTTTTTTTGTATTTTCCCCATTTTTGTAGCAGCATGAGCTCAATTTCCAGAAGTTCAGCACAGAGAAAAAATGGACGCAGGAGCTCACTCCGCCTCATTTATCGAAAGAGCAGACTTTGCAGCATCTTTTCAAAGATCCACTTTCATCTCACAAGGTTTTTGTGTTTCTCTCCATTGTTGAATAATCTGTTTGGTTTCTCATCCAAAAGAAGGAAAAACCGCTATTACTGGATAGTTTGCTTCAAAATATACCCTGCTTGCTTTCTTTGAGCCATTTGAAATAAATTTGACTGGTTGTTATTGACTTATTGTAAAATTATACCTAATCCCTTTTTCAAGAGTGTTCGATTTTATAATTATCTGTTTAGTATGCTTGGTACCTTGTTGGTGTTTGGCGATGGATTGTGGTTCTAATCAAGTAGGTAAAAATATTGATGCAAAGTAGTCATGCTTCTTTCATGTTTTCACTCCTTTAGATTTGACAGTTGGATGGTGCCAATGGAAATCTGGATTTTGAGAAGTTGTGGAAGCCTCCTTCAAGTCGCGATTTCGTGCCCTGCATACAGCCTAGTTCTAATTACACGGGTAGGGAATTCACTTTTTTTTATGTATCAACTAAATATCTGTTTATTGATTTTTAGTTTGTGGTTGTTTCCTCAGCCCCTAATGAGTCAAGAGGATACCTTCTAGTTCATACAAATGGTGGGCTCAACCAAATGCGAGCTGGGGTTTGTATCGCTTAACTTTTTATGGATGAATTTTAGTTTGATGACATTAACGCTGCTATGTATGTGTTATATTTTGGTCTACATGGTTGAGTAACATGAAACTTGTGACTTGTCATAATCTGATTAGAAGAAACAGTCTTCTACGAACTTTATGGAACTACAGTACTTGAATACATTACCAGTACTTCATAATTAAAGCTTAGTCTTGGTTTCCACTTCCCATAAAGATATTTTGAAATGTCTTCCTCCTTTTGTTTTTTGAAATTTTCCGATTCTCCTAGAACTCCATATTGGTTTCAGATACCTTTGAATGTGATGCTTTCTTTTACCTGCTGCTTTTCCTTAGAGAAATTGAGCATGATCATCTACAGCAATATTTATTACATTCCCCATATATATGGGATAATGCTACTAAATTGTTACTTGTCTTAAGTTTGCTGATAAAAATAGACACAATATAACCATTATATCAGTTTTTTATGAATCATTTAGCTGACTGGAGTCTCATTCTTGCACTGCAGATATGTGACATGGTTGCTGTAGCCCGTATAATAAATGCCACGCTTGTGGTTCCAGAACTTGATAAACGATCATTTTGGCAGGATACTAGGTAGCCTCTCTCCTTCAAGTCATTCTTTACAAAAAAAATTGCATTACTTTCTCTCTCTAACTGGGTTTATTTATTTATTTATTTTTTGGTGGCGGATACAACTTTTTCTTCTTTGTTAACTTGCAGCAATTTCTCTGATGTTTTTGATGAGGACCATTTTATCCATGCTCTGGCTAATGATGTTAAAATCATAAAAAAGCTTCCTAAGGATATGTCTTCTGCTACGAAAGTAGTTATGCATTTTAGAAGCTGGTCTGGTTTGGAGTACTACCAAGACGAGATAGCTAGTCTGTGGGAAGAATATCAGGTTTATTTGCTGAAGTTTTTACTGTGATTATGCTAATTGGTATATTAATTCTTGCTGATTTTTCTCCTTTCGTTCTGTTTTGCCAGGTTATTCGAGCTGCTAAATCTGATTCACGCCTAGCAAATAATCATCTGCCTCCTGACATACAGACGCTTCGTTGTCGTGCTTGCTATGAAGCTCTTCGTTTTTCCCCCAAAATTGAAGCAATGGGGAAAGTAATTAGCTCCACCTAAATATCAATCTACTTCTTGGAGTATTTTATATATGTTTCTATATTCATCTGATCAAGTTTGTGATTATTGCAGTTGTTGGTAGATCGAATGAGATCTTATGGTCCTTTCATTGCATTGCATTTACGATATGAAAAGGACGTGCTTGCCTTTAGTGGGTGCACACATGGTTTATCTGATGTTGAAACTGAAGAGCTAAGGACAATCAGGTAGAACACTTTGTTGTCTTTCTATATATATGCATAGTGGAAGTTGAAAGAAAGTGTCACCTAGTACTAAGATGAAGTAGGACAATATTGTTTTTTTATTGCTCACAATACAACCAAGAAAAAGAAGGGGTAAATGTCACCTAGTTGGGTTAGGGTTCAGCTCGGATTAGAGATCAACTCTTTGTTTTGCTTTTGCCACTTTCTTTCTGAATGTGCAGAGAAAGCACCACCTATTGGAAAATCAAGGACATTAACGCAACGGAACAGAGATCCAAAGGATATTGCCCCTTAACCCCAAAAGAGGTTGGGATTTTTCTGACTGGTCTAGGATACCCGTCAAACACTCCTATATATATTGCTGCTGGAGAGATATATGTGGGTGACACTCATATGGCTGATCTACGGTCTCGCTATCCCATTTTAATGAGCAAGGTAGGGAGTAATGTTAATTTTCTTTTGCTTGGCACTATTTTTACGTCTAATTGCTTATGTTTTTATTTGGGCAACTTTTTTTGCTGGGTCAGTTGTGAATAAACATAACAGTAAACATTTGGAACTTAATATTCAAAGGTTATCTGAACTTTATCCAATGTTATTATAATGAGATCAATTTTAATGATATTTATATTTTATACTGGTTTGTTTATTTAGTTAGTCCATATGTTTTTAAATTAATTATTGTTCAAACCTCCAATGCGAGTGTGTATTGTATTTTTCACTTGTGATTGATTGCCTTTTTATTGTTAGAAGTTGTTAATGGATGTATGATGTACTCGGTTAACGGTCAATGAGATCTTTGGCCACTGGCTATTGATTTGTTGCTATTTGCATAACAATTGAATTGCTGTCTCCTTTATCTCTTTCTATGGTTCTGTCATAAGTATATGCAAAAGAAACTAATGTTGTTTGATATTCTTCATGTTACTGAATAAGGGTTAACATGGAGTTCTGATATAGTCATATATCTTGTGGTATTTTGAAGGAAAAATTGGCTTCGGTTGAGGAGCTCGAACCATTCAGCAACCATTCATCTCAAATGGCTGCACTTGATTACATTGTATCTGTGGAAAGTGATGTTTTCATTCCATCATACTCTGGAAACATGGCGAGAGCAGTTGAAGGGCATCGACGTTTTCTGGGACATAGGAAAACTATTTCTCCCGACAGGTGAGTCAAAGTGTTTCCTGAAACTCGACTTATAAGTTATGTATCTATGATTTATACGTAATCTGTTGTGGTCTACTGATGAAGTTTCCCACTCTGTCCTTCAGGAAAGCATTAGTCCGCCTTTTTGACAAAATTGAGATAGGGTTATTGCAGGAAGGGAGAAAGGTCTCCAACAGGATCAGTGAAATGCACAAAAAACTGTATGCGGTTTGTCTTTAATCAATTAGATGCTGCAGAGAGAGGGACTTCATTTTTATCACTCTCCTGCATGTACAACGGAGTTGGTATAATAGTGTGTAATATTGTTTATTTGGTGGATTGTTGTACAGACAAGGTTCACCAAGGAGGAGGAGAGGTCCTGTATCAGGAACGAAGGGAACATATAGGTTCCGTTCAGAAGAAGCGTTTTATGTAAATCCGTTACCGGATTGTTTGTGCAAAAGGGTAGCGCGCAACGCAAATGCATCTCTCAAAATGAGATGATAGATGAGATGCCGCGGATGAAAAAAATGGTTTTTTGTTGAAGATCCCCTATGTAGTGTGGTGTATTGGCGCCAGGCTTATTGATAATGTTAATGATCATATCCATAAATTGAATTATGTCTAGTGCTTGCTTTGGGGCGGACACTACAAGAATGGGGACGCGGGGAATGTGTATATATCGAGTTGTAGGAAATTGGTCCAAATCCAATATATGAACATTAGATGGGGATAATTTTCAAAAAAGAAAACATTAGAAGGGGATAGAAGGTAAAAAGGGTACTCACATGCTCTTGCGATGTTTGTGCGCTTTATATTTGGATTTCTGCTTCAAGAAAGAATAATTAATGTGAACCAATCAGCCTATTCACTTTCGATTATAGAATGACGCCATTTTTTGTTTTTCGTCCGGCAGACGATTTCCCTCAAATTCATTTAGGGGTGTTGTCATTTACGTGTCCTGCGTTTCCTCTTGGAATTGCTTTTCTTGCCACTTTGATTAAGCGCCTTTCGCCTTCTCTCTTTCGTTAAACTGTTTCCTCGGCTTGAATTTGGGTTTCTTCCCCCACCTACTCAATTTTATATCCAAATTTCAAATCCCTTGAATATCCTATTTCTGCGGTGGGACCAAGTTCTACTTATGTAAAAAAACCGAATTTTTTAATGTACGAGTGACTTGTGATACGTTACATGATATTTTGTAATTTGGTAGTTCTATGCTTTAGAAAAGATGTTATGATTTTGCTTCTAACAGTGTTCAAAGAATGATAATTTTTTTTAAAATGTCACGGCTTTATTTTAAGAGAAATGGGAGGATGTCACTTTTCAAATAAAATGGCACGATTATAGAATTGTTTTATGATATTATTTAATTTTATATGTTTGAAATTTTTAAATTTTATAAAAACAATTATAATATAATAAATTTTGATATATTTATCTTATTACAAAATAATTTAAAGGCTTCATTTTAAATATGCATATGGTTTAACAATGAGGGATAAAATTAAATGTTATGAAAATTGTTTGTTAAGATGGCCCACGGAAATAGAAAAAGACAAAAAAAACTTGTTTAATATGAAAATGGTTTAATGTGAGCACCTTGATATACGGTTAAAATAAAGTATTACCAGTTTTATTATTATTTTAAATAACAAAATTGATTTAAAAAATGACCGAAATTATTATTTTTAACCGAAAATATTATGTTTTTTATCAGATTTTTCTATCGCGATTACCTATATCGGTAATTGATAATAATAACAAAACCGGTAAAAATAATAATGTTTTCGGTTATTTTTTACCGGTTTTATTATTTAAAATAATAACAAAACTGATAGCGCATTTTTTTAATTGTTTATTAGGCTGCCGCACCGTAGAACTTTCCAAATCCATTGGACAGGCGTAGGTTTTTATCTCATGAGATGAATTTATGTTTAATAATTTATAAGATAAATTATAAGTTTAATATTTAAATTTTATTTTTTAAAATTATATATAGGGTTTAGTTTATGTTTTAATTTAGTATTTTATGACAAAGGTGATATAGAAATTATATTATAAGATGTATGGAATATCAAAAAAGTAAAAATAATTTCACGTTATCGCTACTATTAAGTTTTTAACTGTGAGTATTAAATTGAAACTTGAACTAAACATTAGATACGATTTTAAAAAAATAATGTTTAGATACTAAATATGTAATATACCTTAATTTATATTTTGAATTTAAAAATTACCTAACTATAAAATTTCAAGAGAGAAAATATATTTTAGTTAAAAAATTAGAAATAAATTTTTTGAATTTTTTGGAGTGATTATAAGGTTATATGTTCGAAATTTTCTTAATATATTGACAACACAAACATACACCCTGCAGATACATTTGCTCAAAATCTATAGAAAGAAAAATATTATCTTTCCATTATGACTAATTAAGATTACGCTTATTTGGTATTTTATTGATCTTCCCTGCTTTGGACTATTAGATTAGATTTGGATATCCGATTTATGTTTGTTGATAGCTTTTCAAGTCGTTCAAGTTTGATTTGCAGTTTGTCGGTGGTCTTTCAATAGCTTGATCTCTTTTTATGATTCGTTTGTTGATGCAATCAAATCTGTTTGTATCTATATTTGTTCGAGTTTCTTGGTTAGATTTCTAATCTTTCCTTGTATAGTGATATTAAGTTGCTAATTTTGTTTTAAAGATTATAGAAATTTTCCTAATTATTTGTTTAATTTACGATTGTGATTGTAAATATTTATTATAATTGTGGATATTTTCTATTTTAAATAAAATTAGTTGCTTCTATCACAAAAAATATTCTCTTTTATCACTAAGACCACTAGATTCATAATATAAAATGTAATTAAATTTTATACAATTTTAAAATTTTCATAGGTAATCTCTCTCATCCGTCCCTCAATTCATCTTTACAATAAATTGAAGGGTAAACTACATAATTAACATCTGAACTTTACTATTTCTCTTATTACACTTATTGTACTTTTAATTTTATTAAATTCAATCATAAAACTTTATATATTAATTTTTTGGTCACATAACTATTTTCTATATTATAGTTTGATGACATGGCTTATTTTAATATTTCTCCAGCCTCATAGGATTTACATTTAGATGCCTTAAATAGGGGTGTAAATGAATTGAGCTTGAACGAAAAAGGTTATATTCGTGTTCGTTTATTTATTTTTGAAGATGTTCGGTTCGTGTTCGTTTAAATTTTCAATATTGTGTTCATGTTCTTTATTTATTTTTAAAGGTGTTCGTGTTCGTTTATTTATTGTTAATGAAGATGTTCATTTAATGTTCGCGAACGTGTTCGTTTATATGTTCATGAACGTGTTCATAAATATGTTTGTTTAATGTTCGTGAACGTGTTCATTTATAAGTTCACGAACTTGTTCATGAACATATTCGTTTAACGTTTTTAGTGATATTTTATCGTTCGTTTATATATTTGATTTTTGAAAAATGATAAAATTAAGCCACTGGTGCTTAAACTCCTTAAAATTCATAGTTTAAAATGTAACTTTTATCGTGTGTTTTATTTAATCCTTATCTTCACCAATATTTAAGATGTAAAAAATAAAAGGAAAATGAGAATAGGGTAAACGAGTTGATAAATGAGTTTGTTCATGAACATAAATGAACAAACTTGTAAACGAGCTTGTTCGTGAACATAAACATCTATTCGTGTTCGTTCGTTTATTAATGAACATAATTTTTTTGGTTCATGTTCGTTTATTTATCTTAACAAAGGAACATAAACGAATATTATACGAACAATTCACCAAATTATCTGTTCATTTACATCCCTAGTCTTGAACAATGACCCTTCTTCATATGCCTTTTCGAGAGCTTCACTGAGCTTGCTTTCATGGAGTTTTAGGAGAGTTGAACGGTTCTGCTTAGTTTCAGCAGTAGATTCAGACCCATCCCTTCTCTTGCTCTTCTAGGCTAAGATCAGAAAAGCACAGTGAAAAGAATGAGTAACTCCGATCAACAATCGTGTACACGCGGCTCTGTGAGAACGACAGCTTGATCAACCAAGCAGTGCCCACCCCCATCAGATCAATGTTGCCACATAATGACTCCATTTGAACCAATTCTTGTGTAATCATAGGTGCAGACTCAGTTCCTGAAGTTGTCTCATCCTTAGTAACAGGAGGACTTACAGATGACTGAAGGGGGTTTGGCGCTTTGAGTTTATTGGTAGTGAAGATGCCTCCAAAGCAGTTTATTGGTGACTTGACAACAATTCACTTCCATGCAAGCATGGTTTTTGTTACAAGTATTATGAATTGGCTCCTACAAAATTAAACACACTCTACAACAATGGGGTACTAGTAATATTTAATTTAATTTAAATTTATAAATAAATACTTTTAACTAATAACACTTCTATAAAGAATCAAGAGAATAATTTTATTGTTTTGCCTTGGAGATTTTCTGCTCTCTTTTGCTGTAACGGCTTGTTCCCATTTATTAAATGAAACTTTATCAGTCTAAAAATAATAAAAAGAACTTGAAGATTACATGTCATTTAATTCAAGTGAGGGGTATGAAATAATAAGTATTTTTTTAATTTCATTTATGAAATTATAATAATTCCGCGAATGCCCACGATTTGTAACAGAAAGAAGACTCTCCAGCCCCTTATTTTTAGTCCTTCTACAAGATCCAAATCTTATGGTTTCTATCTAATTTTCTAACTTGTTGCAAACCAGAATCACGGGTGCAAAATATGTACTGGAACATAAACTGCACATATAATCAAAACTATGGAGAGGAGAACCAACCAAAACAGAGATTATCGTTGGTGACTAGGCGTCTCAGTGTAAGTGGATAATGTCAATGGGAGAATCCATCACCAGTCACTCAAGGAATGGTTCCAGACGTAGGGGGTGGTCTTAGACGTTTTCATTGCATAAAATAACATAAGGCGAAGAGCAAAGACAACCACTTTCGCGTTTATTAGGTTTCACATCATCGTCGCAGCTCAGAAAGTTGTATCTAAAAGTAATGGAATGATGATGGACGGTTTCCCCATAAGAGTCTACCTTGCAAAGAACCAGGTGAATTTGCAGATGGGAGGTTCAAAGCCTAATAAAAGCAACAAGAAGGTTCAATGGGCTGTGAGAGATAGTAGGGTGTATAAGGAGGCGTTAATCGAATCGAAAAGTGCAGCAGAGATGACAAATAGAGAAAACCAGATAATCGAAGTAGTTCAAAACAGAAACATCAATGAAGTGATTGAGGCTACAGTTGTTAAAGAAAAAAAATGGATGGGATTGGGACCTGATCAACCACGAAAGAATACATCCAGGAACATATTTTTTCCTCGAGCGAATGTAGATTGGACGAACTGTTGTCTGGTAGGGCAAATAGAAACCATGTAAAACATTGAGATGATACCGGAAGTGTTTGTCTGATGGTATTGAAGAAAATGTTTGTCCATGGTTTGGTCATCTGGTAATCATCTGGTTCCAATTAAACTCTAAGCGTGTTCAGTTTTGGGAGAATAGAGAAGATATGACGAGGCTTTAGTTCGATGAATTTGAGTTACTAGAGGGTTATGAAGGGAAAAGAAGAGTTAAAGCTTGGATGCTATTGGAAGATGTTCCCCTGATCGTTTGAAACAGTTTTCTTTCAGGAGCTTATTAGCAGTTGGGGTGAAGTGATCAAGATCGATGAAGACACTCTGAATCTGAGGCATTTCGATCAGGTGAAGATATTGTTGCAAGTCCGAAAAGTCTCCAATATTCCTAATAGCGTATCAATTTTGATCCACGAGACCATCCACATAATCAAAATAAAAACGGAGGATTTCGCCGATAACCGGGTTTTCATTGACAGTTCTTCTCCATCTGCTAACCAGAAAGAGGATACCCACGACGCTTCGTCTCTCAATCCATGCAATGCCAACATTAATTATGGTCTATGTTCCGAGGACCACCCTGACACAAATAATGATGAGGTGACAAGACCTACGGGGGACACAAAGGAGACGGAAGAATGTCCATCTCATGCCAATTCGATCTTACCAAACGGAGTGGGGCTTAACGAAGTGCTCATCATTTTTGGAGCGGAACCGATACCCTTATTGGACTTGCACGAGAATGGGATCCAGTGTAATGTGCTGGGTTTGGACTTCGTGAAGCAATCAATATCAAATGGATTGAGGCTTCAAGAGGTGTCAGTTGAGTTCATTGACTTCACAGAATCTCAATTAGAGGACTTCTAGAACAAGCTAGGCCAGTTACTGTTGACTAATGAGAATAGAGTGGGCCCAGATCATTCAAGAGGTGGAATCTCTCGGGCCTAAGAGAGGGTCTGGATAAATTCAAAAAGTGGGTAAAAGGTCCCAAAAGACAAACAAAAGGAAAAAGAAAGTCCAAAAACCAATTAAAAAAGAGAAGTAACAAAAGGCAAGAGCAAGAAAACGTGGTGGTATTTCCAAGCTCATCTCCAGATGATGAAAATAGGAAGTAAACCTTCGAAGTTGGGAGAAAGGTGTGCCTAGAATTTGAAGGCTCGAAAGAATTAGTCATCAATTGGCTTTAAGAGCTCGATGCCAAGGACGGAGGCAGATAGACCAGATTGCAAGTGATTCCTTCAGTGTTTGTTATCCCTCTTTAATGAATTACTGCTTCGTATCATGGACCGTGAGAGGATTAGGGCGAGCAGAGAAACTTAGAGCGGTTAAATAATTAATCTCAACGAGAAAGGTCCGTGTTGCATTCCTGGAGGAATCAAAGTTGTAAGTGGAGAAACTAGGGCTACTGAACAAAATTTGGGGCTCAAACCCAGATATTTTGACATTCTCTCAGTCGCATGGAGCATCAGGTCTCATATCCATTATGGACCAAAGATTCTTTCTCATAGAAGGTAAAATCATCCATCCCAATTATAATTTTCTAATTGGGACTTTTTTGTGAGAAGAAGAAGAGATGTGGGTTGTTGAATATATACGCACCCAACGATGTAGAGGGAGAGAAGGGTGTCTCTTGATTCACTATCCGAGGTTATTCAAGGACAAAATTTCCTGGTGATTTTGGGGTGATTTCAATCAGGTGAAATCGAAAGAGGAAAACATGGGGGATCGATGAATGAATATGCTTCCAATTTTTTTAGGGACTTCATTTATGTTAACAATCTGGTAGACCTTCCACTCACGAGTAACACCTTTACATGGTATAGAGGAGGATCATCCAGTACAGAATGTAGGCTTGATCGCTTCCTAGTCTTGCTAGAAGTGCTACCTCCGTTTCCAAAAATCTTTCAAAGCACACCAACAGATGCTATATCACAGCACAAACTATTACTACTAAAGGAGGATGTCCTAGAAAAGGGAATCATACCGTTAAAGTACTTCAATTTCTGGACAGACGAACCTGAGTTTGTGCATATCGTGAAGAAGACTGTAGAAGTAACCATGGTATGGAGATGGCGAAGCTTCATAAGGTTATTAAATCTGCCTCTAAACAGTGGAGCAAGGAGTTTAGATTAAGAGACGTTATCTCTATAGAAGAACTGGAAGCGCAAATTTCTAAGCTGGAAACTGATCTAGTGGTTTCAACCAATCCGGAAAATGTATGGAAGGAAATCCAATTGTTTGAGAGCATCATTTTGGTCGAGACTTAGATGAGAAGAGATGGAATGGATACAAAAATCTCACCTCAAGTGGTTTAAAGGAGGATATAGAAACACTAAGTTTTTTCACACGTGTGCATCTATGAGGCAAAAGAGCAACTTGATATCCTTCATTCGAGTGGGTGAAAAAACTCTCAGTGATCCTAAATCCATTAGAAGGGCATTTGAGAATCACTTTAGATTATCCTACAATGAGGTGCGAACCGTGCCGGTAAAGAATTTGGAAGGCGATTTCAAAATGCTAAATGAACACTCCTCCCAAGCTTTAGAAAGACCTTTCTTAGTAGAAGAAGTATGTGAAGCTATCAACTCGTCTGATGGGTCATGAGACCCAGGTCCCGACGATTTTAATAATAGAATTCTTCAAGAAATTGTGGCACCTTGTTAAGAGTGAAGTAATGAAGTTTGTTGAGTTTTTTACCAAGGTCATTTACTAGATCCCTTAATCAACCACTCTTTCATCGCGCTTATTCCCAAGGTAGCATCGCCTAAATCAGTTAACGATTTTAGGCTAATAAGTTTAATGGGCAATCTGTACATGATTCTTGCTCGGGTCCTTGCAAGAAGACTTGTATCAATGAAGTAATTGGGGAGAGTCAATTTGCTTTCATTTCGGGCAAACAGATTGCAGATTGCGCCCTCATTGAAAATTAGATAATAGACTCTGAGACGGAATAAGTGCGAAGCAGTCATCATTACAGCAGACTTCAAAAAAAGTGTATGACTGTGTGGATTGGAAGTTCTTGGATTTGATTATGGAGAAGATGGGTTTTGGGCAAAAATGGCAAAAGTATATTAGTCTCTGTGTTTCAACAGCCTCTGTGTCGGTTCTAGTAAATGGGGTTCCATCGGGCAAGTTCAACATTAGAAGGGGTCTTAGACAAAGGTGCCCCCTGTCCCTTTCCTGTTCAACATAGTTGGAGAATCTCTTTGTATAGTGATCTAAGCATCATTGCAGCAGGGTCTAATTAAAGGAGTCAAGGTGGGTTGAGAGGAGTTGTTACTCTCCCATCTGAAATTCACGGATGATCTCATAATCTTTGTAGATGCGTCAAAACAACACGTAATAAACATCAAGAGAGTTCTGAGGGTTTTTGGCATTGCTTCCGGCTTTAAATTAAACATGAATAAGACAAAATTGCTAGGTGATAACGTAGAAGAAAGTGTACTGAACTCATGGGCAAGTGCTATTAAATGCGGAGTTGAGCTTTTGTCCGTAATTTATTTAGGTCTCCCGTTGGGGCATATATGCAACTCTAAAGTTTTGTGGAAACCGATCATGGAAAAGATCCAGTATGTAGGTTAAATTGGTGGAAAGGCAGAATCCTCTCTTTTGGTGGTAAACTAACTTTGGTCAGGTCGGTCTTATCCAACATATCGATTTTCAAACTGCCGATCGGGACTGAAAGAAATAAATAGGTTGACTGCAAGATTTTTATGGGGTTCCTCTTTTAACCGTCGAATTCACTGGGTTAACTTGGAGAATATAGTAAGGCCAAAAGAAATTGGGGGCTCGGCTTGATTAATGTCAGAACTCGGAATAGATCACTATTAAATGGATTTAGAGATATGGGATCGAACTAAACAACCTTTGGAAACGATTAGTAGTTGCTACTTCTAGTGGGAATCAAATGAGCTTACTGCCCAACATCAGTAAAGGTAGGAAGGGATCTTGGTTGTGGCACATTATCACTCGTCCCCCAGCTCTCCCTAATAATGAATTCACAAGAAACATATACCTCTCAAGACAGCTTTCCCTCGTATCTTCGCCCTTGCCTTAAAAAATGGCTGTAAAGTGGCAGAGTTTGGGACTTTTGTAAACGACCATTGGAGATGGGCTATCCCATTGAGGAAGTGACTTTTCAATTGGGAATTGGAGCACTGGACCAATTTCACAAACACTTTTAGTAGTGTTTCTCTCAATTCCTTGAGCATGGACACGATTTAAATGAAGGGGGTTTCATCGGGGTTGTATACACCTAAATCATATTGTAATCTCACCAAGAATGTAAGTGTCAATGCAGATCGGTTTTGGAATTTGGTTTGGGCAGGGTTTAGCACATCCTAAGGTGGAGGCATTTATGTGGAAAATAATCTAGGGTCACGTGCCAGTTCGAGTGGAATTGTAAAAAGAAACAATGGATGCATATCCACAAATAATTGTGTTTATGTGATAAAGAAATGGAAACGATGGACCATATTTTCTGCCATTACGAAGTGTCGTGGAGAGTTTAGCAGGCACGGTGTAATCAATGGAATATGAAGATCGTAATCCCAAAATCTTTAAAATGTTTTCTAATGTTATGGGACAACATTCATGTAAAACCCTCTTGTAAACTTATTTGGCTGGTAGCTTTTTTGCAATGGTCTAGACCATCTGGCTGGAAAGGAATAAATCTTTATTTGACAATAAGCAGCTTGAGCATGGTCGCATCTTCGATATTGCAGTCCTAAGAATTGGCTCATGGGCTAAAAGCAAATGGTCGGAGTCAATCTTATCCATAAATGACTTCACAAGCAGCCTTGCGAATGTATCAATCCTAAACCGCAAAAGTCAAAGACCTCTACAAGGTTCATGGATTACCCCACCCATAGGGATGTTAAAGATAAATGTAAATGCTGTTGTTGATAGCTGTGGATTGGTTGATTTTGTTGAAATCCTTCGGAATCAGACAAGGGTTTGCTTCTTCAATTTTCTAGATTTATTGGGCTGTTGAATCCTTTAAATGCAGAATTTACTCCTTTCTTAGAAGCAGGACACATCATTTTAGGACTAGAAAACGAATACAATGGCAAGCTTCAACTCGAATCTGATAGCATGATCGCTGTCAAATGGATAAAAAAAACCTCATCTTAGCTCCTCTTGCTTGCACCGATCTGGTAAGCAAAGTATCGGCCTTATGCGAGCGATTCTCTTGGACCATCAATTTTGTGTACATGGAGAGGAATCTCGATGCTCATAATCTTGCAAAAGAAAGGACCATAAGGAAGATACCTTATATTTGGTCTTTGGTGAGTAGGGCGGTTCCAAGGGGTTTAGAAGGCAGAAGCTATCGCTTTTACATCTGAGATAAAAGGGTAAAAAGTGTTTTAAGTGTTCGTTTTGTTGGGAAATAAATCGAGTATGAGTAATTTTCCTATAGCAAGATTAGTGAGAATACGAAATAAAAGCGGAAAAAATAATACTCGAAAAATTGATAACGGAGTTCAGCCAATTGTGCTTACGTCTCCGGACTGCTGCAGATCTTTTACTAAAGAGAAAAAATTACAGGTGTTTACAAAACACACTTGAGAGAGAACTGGAAGATTTTGGGATGATTTTGAAGCTAAATGAGCTAGGGCATTTATAGTTGAAGCTTAAGGACTAATCTTATAAATACCCTAAAGAGTGCAGTGGCTAAAAAATAATTAACTCAATTTTAATTTCAATAAAATATTGGGGCACTGAATTCGGTGCCCCTTTTGCTGTAAAACTCTAGCCTTTTATTGAAAAAAAACATAGGCGGTGCCCCCCTGTCAGCCGCAATTCTTGACTTCTCCAACAATCTCCCACTTGAAGACTGATTTTAATCTGTCTTCACACCTCGATCAATGCAGCAGCATTTCTAGTCTTGTTACTCTAGCATGCCAACTGAAGCTGAACACAACTTCAGTTTGTCCGTGGTCACCGTCTTTGTCAACATGTCTGCCGGATTTTGAGCTCCACTAATCTTTTCAAGTTTCAAAATCCCATCTTCCAGAAGAGACCGGATAAAATGATATCTTAATTGTATATGCTTCGTCCTGGAATGAAAAGACGGATTTTTTGCTAGATGGATAGCACTTTGACTATCGCAGTACAAGACATTGTTTTCTTGTTTCTTGCCTAATTCTTCCAAGAAACTTTGGAGCCAGACCATCTCTTTGCTGGCTTCCGTAACAGCGACATATTCTGCTTCAGTTGTGGAGAGAACAACTATCTTCTGTAGTTGAGAAACCCAACTCACTGCAGTTCCTCCTAGAGTATAGACATACCCTGTAGTGCACTTTCTGATGTCAATATTTCCGGCTAAGTCAGCATCTACATAGCCTGTCAGTATAGTATCTCCACATTTGAAACAAAGTGCTTTGTTTGTAGTACCCCGCAGATATATGAGGATCCATTTGACTGCTTCCCAGTGTACTTTGCCCGGATTATTCATGTACCTGCTAACAGCTCCCACTACATGAGCAATATCTGGTCTAGTACAAACCATGGCATACATCAGACTTCCAATTGCTAAGGCATACGTCACTTTCACCATGTGTGCACGTTCTTTCTCCGTCTTTGGTGACTGTTCTTTGGAGAGTCTGAAATGAACACCTAAAGGTGTACTTACTGGTTTAGCATCTTGCATGTTGAACATGGAGAGTACTTTGTTGATGTACTCAGCTTGTGATAACATCAAAGTCCCCGACTTTTTATCTCTCTTGATCCTCATCCCAAGAATCTGCTTTGCAGCGCCCATATCCTTCATAGCAAACTGCTTTGACAATTCTTGCTTCAAGTGTATAATCTCTTGCATGTCTGAGCCTGCAACGAGCATGTCATCAACGTACAATAATAAAATAATAAAGCTATTTTCGAACCTCTTGATGTAACAACAATGATCTGCTTGGCATCTGGTAAAATCATTGCTACTCATGAAGCTATCGAACTTCTTGTACCACTGTCTAGGAGCTTGTTTTAAACCATACAAGCTCTTCTTCAACCCACATACCATGTTTTTCTTGCCTGCCTCTATAAAGCCTTCTGGTTGCCTCATATAGATTTCTTCCTCCAAATCACCATGAAGGAAAGCTGTCTTTACATCTAACTGCTCAAGATGTAAATTTTCTACAGCTACAATTTTCAACACCAGCCTGATTGTAGACAGTTTTACAACTGGAGAGAAAATTTCATTGTAGTCAATACCTTCCTTTTACTGAAAACCTTTGACAACCAATCTTGCTTTGTAGCGTTTGTTCCCATCGTGCTCTTCTTTGATCCTGTAGATCCACTTGTTATGGAGCGCTTTCTTACCTGGTGGTAATTCAACTAATTCCCATATCTGATTTGACATAAGCGAGTCCATCTCATCTTTCATGGAAGACTCCCACTTGACTAAATCCTCCACTTGCATAGCTTCATCATAGCACTCTGGTTCACCATTGTCAGTCAGCAACAAGTAGTGCAAAGAAGGAGAATATCGTTGGGTTGGTTTAGGAATTATGGAGGAGCGTCTTAGTTCCGGTGTGCCTGGTTCTTCTTGAACTGCTTCAGGATTGATCTGAACATCATTTCCAGAAATCTCCTCGAACTCAGTAAATTCCTTTGTTTCAGCTTTGCTATTTGAACTGCTTGATTCTACAGTTGACCTGTCTTTGTACATCACATTCTCATTGAAAATGACATCTCTGCTTCTGATGATCTTCCGATTTTCATAGTCCCAAAACCGATAACCGAACTCATCACCTCCATAACCAACAAAGGCACATTTGTTGGACTTAGCATCAAGTTTACTTCTTTCAGCAGAGTCTATGTGTACATAAGAAATACAACCAAACACTCTTAAGTGTGAAAAGTTTATTTCTTTC